TATAGCTGTTGTATCTTGTTCTAGTTGGGGTATGTTACAAGTATATGACAGATACAAATTGGCTCCCAGAACGATTCCCTGTGGTACTCCTGCTTTAATTTCTTTCAATTCGGAGTATGCTTCATTTTGTTTTATTCTAAAGAATCTATCTGAAATGTATGAATCCAACAGCTCTGAGTAAGGCTGTAAAAGTAGCACATTCAATTTATGTTTTAAGCCATCATGCCTTACTTTATTAAAAGTCTGCGCAATATCTAGGAAGATGGCTGAACAAACTTCTTGGTTTTCTATTACTTTTTCAATCGCATTTGATATTCTATAAACCTGATTTATAGTTGAATGTTTTCTCTAAAGCCAAACTGGTAATCTTAAATGATGGGTTTCAGTCTTTTTATTAGTATTTTTATAAATAGTTTCGATATTACAGGCAATAGAGATATTGGCCTATATGACGAAACTTCATTCGGAGGTTTTCCTGGTTTGAGGATCATAATGACTTCAGCAACTTTCCACAACCTAGGGACATACCTTAGTTTGAATGAGGCATTAAAGAAGTGTGTAAGTTTAATTATGGCTTTCCTCGGAAGTTGTTTTAAGATTTCTCCTGTAATTAAATCAAAGCTTATGATTAATATTTGTTTTCATATTATCTGCAATTTCCTTTGGAGAAGTTGGTCTGATATTTCTCTTTAGAGGAGCCCAGTTCGGTAATTCTACTTCTTGATTTTGTTGGAAGGTATTTTGTAAATGCTCTGCGAATCTATTAACTTTTTGTATTATTATTTCTATCCCAGCTGCAATCTGTATTTCTGATTGGAGCATTCTGCACAGTGGGCCTTTTTAATCGCTTTGTGGCTTTCCATAGAGAATAATCAGTGAATTTATCATTTGTTAACTCACTGGGGTACTCACAAATAGATTCATTTTTTATTCGTTTTATCTTTCTTTTTAACTGCTGGGTGACGTTGTTAAGTTTGGATTTATCTGATGGAGCTGTGATCTGATGCCATTTCCTTCAAAGTTTTCTTTTTGCAAAGATTTGATCCCTTATTTCTTTAGGATAGTTAATTCATGTTGTTCGCTGAACAATAGGTGGCGCATTATCCCATGCTGCTTGCTGTATGTTGGACATACGTATTTCTACTTTTTCATCTAGCTGTGCTTTTGTTCTTAACGAAACTGAAAGAGTGACTTGATTTTAAAGCTTTGTCAGTCTGTTCTTCTATTTATTAGTCTAAGAGCGCTTTCCTTTTGGATAACTGCGTCAATAAGAGTGAGAAGAATGGGCGAATGATCTGAATTCATGTCCCATGCCTCATCAACCCATATGTAGTTTGCTGAAATATTTCGTACAACAAAAAAGTCTATTAGGTCGGGTATCTTGTTTGTATCTGTGGGCCAATAAGTTGGTTTACTAAAATCTCAAAAACAGTTTTTGTGCTGTATTACTAGGAACTATTTTGGGCAAAATTTTTATTGTAGGTACAAGAGCGTCTGTAGGAAAAAAATCAGGGGCGGCCAATAAAAAAAATCAGTTTTCCAACAACTAAATTGTATATCTATACAAAAATAATAATAGTGAATTAATAAAATGAAAAGCTAGGGGGGAACAGCCCCTCTCCCTGTCTCACCCTCCGGACGTCCATGAGTAGGTACTTTATTTTTGTAAGAAAGCTTTTTCATATAGAGTCTCTATTTTTTTGCAACCAAACTTCCAAGTTTAATATTTGGTAAAAGAATATTATTTTAATAGAAAATAGTAGTTGGTTCGAGTTGATTTCAATAATTAGAAAAACGGTTCGGTGTTTTATATGTAAAAATCAGCTCTTTTAGGATATTTTTCTTTATTGAAGATTGTTTATAAATAATTAATGTATGTAACAAAATAATTTTTAAAAATACTGTTTATTTTATATTGATTTATAATTTAGTAGAAAATCCAATGTATGTAAAGAAATTGTTTTTACAATATTTATATATTTCTGTCACACTCTGTATATTAATTATTACAACAAAAAAGTGATCAGAAGTCATAGTAATACATGAAAATTATCCTTATTTCAGTAACTGATATTCGTATTTTTTGTATTACCTATTTATTTTTTAAAGTGCCAAGCATAAACTAGCTATATATAGGTATAACACATGACATAAATTTCATGGAAAAACATTATTTACTTGAAAGTGGTAGATATTTTTATGAAAATATTAATTCTGTTGTCCTTACATTAGATTCTTTCTAACAGCTCACCCTATACAGATGCAAACTTGGAGTCTTTAAGAAAGTTGTCCATAATGACCTGAGAAATTACATACTTAATTTAAAAAAATTCTGACATTACCCAAAATCAATATAAAAAGTGCGGGGTTCTTTAAAACACCAATCTGGGAATAACTCCACAGTTTTTTAAACAAATTGTAAAGTCCATATGGCAAAAACAGGTGCCTGGTAGCCAATGGCGGCTCGTGGGGTGGTTCACAGTGACAGAATATAGGTATCAGTACAGAAGTATGAAAAAACTTTAAGTGTTTTAGAAAGTTTATAATATACCTTTCTAAAACACTGACAGTTTTTTACCTATCTATATTCCGGGATCTATATTCTGCTACTGTGAACTCCCAAAATTTGGGTCACGAGCCGCGCCTGCTGGTAGCTGGTCTTGTACTTCTAGTTTATTAAGTCAACTGGACTGTTGACTTAATCCACGGTTCGTAGACGAAACGATACTATAATCACTGTTGTTAACTATTATTGTGTTTATTTTAAACATTTTGGGTTTGGGTACGGCCTCAGAGCTAAATTCGGATCACACTTTGTTTATATCATCCCAAAATATTTTGAAATTTTGGCAAGCTTGGAGCGATCTGTAGAGTTGCTGTTGGCAAACAAATTTTTTCACGCAAAAATTATTAGAACAAATAAAGGGACTGAGCCTAAACTGAAATTAAAGGCTAATGGTAAGATTTTAGAGTATTATTCTGCAAGAAAAGTCAAAGGGCTTTACTAAAAGGACCTACATTATTGAAAAAAGGGTTTTTACAAGAAATTTTTAGTAAAAAAAAGTTACAAATAACTTTATAGAAGAAAACTGTTGGACTTCAGAAGAAACAAACAATGTATATTTATATCAGAAATAAAAAATATATTTTTTCATTTTCTAGTTCTTTGATGTATGAACATTTAAAAAAAAAAAAACAATAATACAACAACTACCCAGTTTTATTAGAACTAGTTTTCGCCCAGTGGTCGAAATTCGACCATATATCATTATTGATAATTAGAGGAAAACATGCATATGCATTTGTATGTTTCTAACATTTTTTTTAATCTTATACATTCGTTCAATGTGACATCTGAGATCATAAACTTTTTTATATGCCTACAATTAAATAAATAATACCCGAAATAAAAAAATGTTTCACCCCTACTTCACTTAGGGATGGGGGGGGGCGATTAATATCAGTAATAAAATCAATTGTTAACCTTTTGAGGGGGGGAAGGTAGTAACAAAAATCATAATATATTTAGATTCTAATTTCGAAAAAAAAAAATTCTTGAACTTTTTTTATACCTATAGAAGGGTGGGTCATAGGAGGTGACAGGGGGTGAAATTTTTTTGGCCCTAAAGTCCAATCCATCATCTAGCGCTATTAGTTTTTTCTATCTTTTACCATGTAGGCATGGCAGAGGGGGGGGGAAGTATTTTTTTTTTCATTTTTTTCGCCTATGTAATATTGTCAAGGTGGTTTGAAAGAGTGCTCATGTTCACTATAGGCTAATTTTATTAGTCAATTATAATTCATAAGAATTCTGAATCAATGGATTTTATATATTGAAGGTTGGGAAAAAAATACTATCGCCAAAAAAAATTATTGATAACACTAAAGCTCGTTAATAGATACTAAACAAAAAAATGTTTAATGCTTGTAAGAAACCATCTCATCTGCTTTTAAATGTAAGGTGGACAAAGCAGCAATTAATTTAATAATTTTACCATTGGCCTTTAATTTCAGTCTAGGCTTAGTCTATTTATTTCTTCTAAAGATTTTTGTGTAAAAATTGTTTCCCAACAGGAACACTACGACTCGCTCCAGAATTGCCAAAATTTTAAAATATTTCGGGATATAAACAAAGTGTAATCCGAATTCAGCTTAGAGGCAGTACCCTAATCCAAAATGTATAAAATAAACCAATCCCATAATAATAATTATCTTTATAATTCAAATAAAAAGTAATTTATTTAAAATTTGATGGAAATCATTATATGATTTTTCCATACTGTTTTGTAGCTTGTCTTTCAAGAAATCAAATTACCGATTTTATTAAAACTTTAACTCTAGTATAGAGTCCAAAATTAAAAATATAAACACTACAAACTATTAATAAAATATTAGATTTTCTAAAAATCTAATGTACGAACCACAGCAGAATATTTTCTGTCAGCTCGATTTTTTATTCCGTGACGTCACACCCTTCCTTAGCAACGGACGGAAGAGGCCACCGTGTTTGTCGACATCGGACTATTACTGTCAATTTGCTAATTTAATGTTGTATAGTTTGGCGGTTTGATGTAAGTACGTTGGTTTTTGCTTTATGCGATTGGTTCATTTTCTTTTAATTTTAATAAATGTTAAATCTGCATATTATTTGTTTTGTTATTTGTGTTAATCATACCATCAATGAGTGAAAATTAATCACTTTATTTAAACAATAAGAAAATATTCAATTCAACATATTATTCTTATTTATAAAAATAAATGAAATAAAAAACTCGAGGACCATGTAACAAACTCGTTGAGCGATCGTTTCCATCCTAACAATAAATGCTCCTTTGGCTTATACCGCAATGGGATAATTTTATATCTTTTATTTTTCTTTTGATATAACTTAATGTTACGGTACTAGCCAAAGTAGTAGTTGTTTTCAGGATATAAACGTTCGCTCTATATATATATATATAGATATATACAGTGTATATAAATAAAATATGACAATATTTAAAATTTGTTTATTTACGCTTTATAAAAATTCGAAAATACAACAAAAAATATTCTTTCACCTTACTAACAATCATGAATATCACACTTAAATCTGTTTCTAATTTTTAATATCACCAAATTTGTTAATTTTTTTTTTTTATTGACACTACTGAAGACCAAAAAGCTTCTAATTCGTTTAAAATTACAAATTTTATATTAAAACAAAATGTGTTTTTCTTAATAACTATATTCGTCGTAAATTTCATTATCTACTGGTCGAGGTCTTCTCTGTTGAGGTCTGTAGATTGGATTTGGTCTGTAGGCTGGACTTGGTCTGTAGTAAGCAGGTCGTGGTCTGTATTCAGGCTGAGGTCTGTATAAAGGTTGTGGTCTGGTTATATAACGTGGTTGATTTGAATCTGCCACTTGGTATCGTAAATCTTGTACTGATTCTCTGAAAAATAATTTTATTATTAAAGTTATGATTATGACGATCTGAAGTAGCGCGAAACATACATGAAACGTCCGTTAAAATCCGATTTGGATCTTATCGTTCCAGGACTTTTTAATGGACATTAGTTGCATATTCAGGAGATATACATATTGTAACGAGTTAGCCGGCTAGTACTGCCAAGTACTAGAAGGAAGATGTTGCTATAAAATAGATGTTGAGTTGCCACTAGTGGAAGTGTATATCGTCGGTCTAAAGCACACATATTGTAACTCCAAATTTAATGTTATAACGATCTTGGTAGCAATTAAATGGCATTTTAGTCTTCTTTATTGGGCACAACCATTGTAGCTTCAACATGGCCCCAACACACACCAAACTACAATAAATTCAAATTAAAACTGAGAATTAGGGCATTTAATTACTCTTTCTAGAAGTTGAAATTTGCGATTGTCCAAAAATGCGTTTTTGGAAATACAATAAGTGTGCTTTAGACCGACGATATAGTTGTCGGAGATAAATAATTGTCCAGTCAGATTAAAAGATAGTTGTCAATCGTATTCGTTTTAAAAATTTATATTTCCTGTAAATAAACGTTTCAAAATACCCCACCTATTTTAAAAATTGGTGTCAAGTGTGGTTTCTAAGAGGAAATAGAAATGCCCGGAAAGAAGATGAATTAATTGTTGGCGACAAAGCTCAAAAGAGAGCTCGAAGAACGGGACTTAGATACCACCGGACCGAAGGTTATATTACTAGGACGGCTACATATCGGTAGAATTCGATGATCCATCTCAAAAAGCCTTCGCCGCCCTGTCCCAAAAGATGTTGAGCCTGCATGACAAGCTATTCGCAACAGGTATCCAGTCAGTATCAGCAGATAACCAGTCAGTCCCAGCAGATGTCAAGCCTTAGTGACGAATTGGTCCAGCTTTCTCATCAGATATCCAGTCAGCGCAATGAGCTTCTTCAACAAGTGACCACTCTGATGTCTAATCAAGCTTTGGAACTGCTATCCGAAATGCACACATAGATAACAGATATCAGAACGTACCGAACGGTTTCAAGAGAAGATATCGCAACGCACCGGATTACTCGAAGCGGAAATCCATAACCTCCAGGGGAAGATGTCCTAACAACTATCTTCAGAACAAAATATGGAATCTTATTAGGTCGTTAAAAGATTAGGGAGCAGTCTCTCTAATTTGTAGATCCAGCTTCAAATGATCGAAGAACGGCAATGATCTATTACAGCAGAAATCATCAAGGGGATAAAACCCCCAAACTTAATATGGAAAGACCTTTGCAAAATTTCCTGAAACAATTTAACCCTGCAGCTGGAGCTAACGGGTGGTCCTCTCGGGAGAAAGCCACATCTCTCACAGTAGCTCTGCGTGATGAATCATTAGATGTCCTGCAAACCCTCCATGTGGATGAAGCTGAAGACTTTGACTTACTGGCGAGACATTTAGAAATGAGATATGGATATGCTCACCTAAAGCCGGTTTATCAGTCCCATCTCAAGAACCGAAAGCAGAAAGTCGGTGAGTCAATTCAGGAGTTTAAAGCAGACATTGCAAGAATGGTACGCTTTGCCTACCCGTCGGTCCAGAGAGTCTTCTGGAATGTTAAGCTGTCCAAGCTTTCGTTGACGGTATAAGAGAACAAGACTAGCTGAGAGAGGGTACGTTTAGTTCGTCCAAAACTTTCAGTCGATTCGTTGACAGTAGCGTTGGAGTACGAGTCATCACGGACCACAACAACGTCGACACTCAACAAGAGCCATCTGATCCCAGCATCATGGAAGATGAAAATCAGATTTTGAAAAAACTATTAATCGTCGTCCAACTTCACAAGAAGTGTCGTCGTCTTCACCGATGTTAAAGTCATACTGAGCACAGTGGAATTCCTTGAACTTCTTAAAAGATTGATTGAAAATTCTGACTGAACAGAATCCAAAAAGCAGCTTCGTCCCGAAAATTTGCATACCAGAAATATTAAATCACCTCCATGATAAAATCTCAAGGAGTCATCTAGGCGTAAAGAAAACATTGGAAAAGGTGCGTAAAATATTCTACTGGGTAACTTGTTCCGACGACATCAGGGATTGGTATCGAACATGTACCACTTGTTCATCAAGCAATGGGCCTCATCGTAAACCTAGGGCTGAGATGCAACAGTATATTGTAGGAAGCCCATTTGAAAGAATTGACGTGTGGGCCCCTTGTGTGGCCCCTTACCGCAGAGCGACGCAGGGAATAAATACATATTCGTAGTGATGTACTATTTCTCTGAAAGGGTAGAAGCTTATGCTGTTCCCAACCAGGAAGCTGCTACATTAACCGACATGCTAGTGAAGGAATTCATGTCGATTTGTACTTGAATTACATTCGGATCAAGGACGAAACTTTAAAAGTAAACTATTTCAAGAAGTTTGTAAGAGACTGGGAATTCGAAAAACCAGAACCACAGCACTACACTCTCAATCTGATGGAATGGTGGAACGAATGAATTGAACTCTTGCTAGATATTTGTCAAAGGTTGTCTTCGAACATCAAAGGGACTGGGACCAACACATTCCATTCTTTTTGATGGCTTTCCGTTCGGCAGTGAATGAGTCTTGTTTGGTAGAAATTTGAGATTGCCATGTGACTTGGTATTTGGTTGTAAGCCTGATAATGGCAGCTGGAGAACACTATGTCTGTGATTTTCGATTTTCGATTTTATGAATTAGTACATACCAATTTGCAGGTAGCTAGTGATCGCATGAAGAGGCATTATAGCAAAAGAACAGAAGAGACAAGCTACCAGGTGGGATATTTCGTCTGGCTGTATAATCCACGAAGAAAACGAGGTCTATGTCCTTAATTACAAAGGAATTGTCAAGGCTCCCAGAAGGAAACCAATGGTGGTCCATCATGATCGACTTGCACCGTTTAAAGGGGACTATACCGAAGATTTCGGGTAAAGCCACAACACGTCCGACAACATCAACATTCTAGGAGGAATGCATCTAAGGAAGGGGGCAGTGTAACAAGTTAGTCGGCTAGTACTGCCAAAGGATGTTACTATAAAGTAGATGTTGAGTTGCCACTAGTGGAAGTGGATATAGTTGTCCGAGATAAAATAATTGTCAGTCAGATTAAAAGATAGTTATCAATCGTATTCGTTTTAAAATTTGTATTTCCTCTAAATAAACATTTTAAAATACCCCACATCGTGTTTTACAATATAATATTAAAAATATTGGTTTTCTTAATTTTTTATTGTTACTCCCTCCCCTGGAGTTTTTGTACTATTTCCAGAGCACTCTGTATGTTATAAATAATGTAGGTATTGTGATCGGTTAAATATTTGAAAAATATAAAAATAAATTCCCCGGAAATCATCAAGAAAATCCCAATATTACCCCTACGAAATAATAAAAATTATTTTGAACCTTTACGGGGGACTCGAACCCACACCTATTCCTGTTCTGCGCACAGTCGCTCTTCCAATTAAGCTATCGCTGACATAGTCAGAGATTTCCAAATTTTCAAGAATAATATATTTCGAATCCAACTTCGCGTTTCAGAAAATTTTTAATTCTTTAACCATCGTCTTCTTAGAAAATATTTTTAATCCTTTACTTACTCATAGTATTCAGGTTCTTGTCTGTACACAGGAGCTCTAGCAGACACTCTTGGTCTAGCGTTAATTTCATTGCCGTAGTTACTAGCAGCTGGAACTTCGGGCTGCTCATGATACTGCCCCGAATCCGTTCTAGTTGAAGGTTCAGTTGCAGTGGGTGAGGTTCTGGAACCTGCATTGTAGTTGATGTTGACCTTTAGACCTGTAGGATCGGTGTACGAAAATCCTCCTTGGATGACACCGTTTGGACCTCCTCTAGCGGAACTCACTATACCGTCTTCTGTTTTGTATAAGTATCCAAAAGTGCCTACAAAAATATGTTATGTAATTAATTCTAACATTTAGATCACAAGATTAGTGACAGCTGAAAAGAGATCACAAAACCAAGTTATACTCCTTTAATGCTCCATTCTAGATCCTGATAACAGGAGACATACACTTTTACATACAAGCATAAGTTGTTCCAGGAACCTATAGTCAGTCAATTAAGAACTACTTCAAATTTCTACAAACTACAAGTGCAATATGAACTAAAGTGCGGCAAAATACAATAAAACAATAGGTTGCGATCTAATTGGAGACAAAATTTGACAAGCCCTAAGTAGGTAAATACTTACCATCTGGTGTTGGTTCGTTCCTAGTGTCTTGAAGAATGCTTGCATATAAATTTTTGGAGCGTGGTGGTCCTTGGGACAGTGTTGAATGGATCCATGTTGTAGAACATAATAGAGTCTAAAAACAAAAGCACTGTAAATGAAATTATATAGAACGAAGAAACATTTATTTATGGTGAAAATATATTACCAAACGAAATGTAATATGTCAATCAGGGGCGGTTTCTCCATTGTTTCATTTGTGCAGTGAACACCCAGTTAAATTTCATAAAAACACATTATTTTAATATTACATAAATAACATAAAAATATAAATTTAATTTTAATATTTTTATTTTCATACGTGTTAATCTATATTTTTTTGTACATCATTGTCCTCTGGCTGATCGCGTCTCTGTGTCACAGTATACCTAAGTATACTGTGTCTGTGGCGTATTATGATGAGTGAGCCTAACACGAGTGAGACGATATGCCAAATGCATATAGCTAAAAAGAGAAGACAGCACTCCAACATATCCTTCAAACTAACAAAGAACAAATTAATTGGCGCGCCGCTCACAAACAAGGTTGCCAAACCAGTGTTGCCAGTCTAGTATAATTCACACGTTCGTTTGATCTGTCTACAGCCATAGCATAATTTTGTAAATAATCATAGGAATAGAGTAAGGGTTATATTTTAATATTTTATCATTCCATTTCTTTTATTTTGCATAATAATTATTTTTCTTTAATTATATTTGACCATAAATATGAGAGACGAGAAACTGGCTGAACACTAGTTCTTTTTGGTCTTAATAAGTTGGCAACATTTTTCGTTAGAAATTTGTCAGTTTTATGATCGAACTGTCACAAAAAAATAACTTAATTTTTTCGGCCCTTTCCGATTTGATTTTTGGAAGAAGATGACCGTTGGGATTTAGCTCCGCATTGTGTTAAATAGTGTTGAATAATAATTAGTTTTCGAGCTTTTTGTTTTGTTCAAGGACCCCCGTGCCAATGTTTATGTTACTTTTATTTTGGATGAACCTGGTTTCTGACCAAAATCAAGTGAGACGAGATACTTTCTTCCACGTGTTGCTGGATCCCGGTAGCAGAAAAAACCCTCAAAAGAGGTAAGTCATTTCCTTTGCTGCTCCTGCATTTTCTTTGTCTGGCAAAACTCATATTTTAACATACTGGGTGTTCAAATTAAAGTGTTACAGTTAAATACCGCCGAAAATATGCATTTTAAAAAAAAAAGTTTCAGACAAAAGTTTTATAGTTTTTTGGGGGAAACATTTTGGCCAAATTCATTTTTTATAGCTGACCATAATATGGCCATATCGAGGTGGATTTTGTTTGTTTAAATGGGAAAACCATTTTTTTACATATTCTTAAAGTACATAAAAAAATAAGAAACTTTTGATGAAAATATTTTTTTGTTGGACTTTTACTTTTTGAGTAACAGCTACTTGAAAATTTTGCTAGGCGAAAAAAAAGTTGACCATATTATGGTTAGCTATAAAAAACGATTTTAGCCAAAATTTTTCCCCACAGAACTATAAAACTTTCGTCTGAAACGTTTTTTTTTTTATAAAAGGCGGTATATAGCTGTAACACTTTAATTTGAACACCCGGTATATAGGGTTCTTCCCGTTCTCAGAAAGCTACAGAATGGAATTCTGTCTTGCCAATATGCTGGTCCATTTTATTTACCCTACGAAGCAGAGATTTCCTTTTTACTTTCCTATCTGCATACAGATATAAGGAAAGTATAGGAATCATGATTTTTTTCGACCTCGAGTTTTCGACGGATTTTTACGTTTTGAGGTCCCCTGAATCCGTTTTGACTATTTTCGCGATGATGTATGTGTGTGTGTGTGTGTGTGTGTGTGTGTGTGTGTGTGTGTGTGTGTGTGTGTGTGTGTGTGTGTGTGTGTGTGTGTGTGTGTGTGTGTGTGTGTGTGTGTGTGTGTGTGTGTGTGTGTGTGTGTGTGTGTGTGTGTGTGTGTGTGTGTGTGTGTGTGTGTGTGTGTGTGTGTGTGTGTGTGTGTGTGTGTGTGTGTGTGTGTGTGTGTGTGTGTGTGTGTGTGTGTGTGTGTGTGTGTGTGTGTGTGTGTGTGTGTGTGTGTGTGTGTGTGTGTGTGTGTGTGTGTGTGTGTGTGTGTGTGTGTGTGTGTGTGTGTGTGTGTGTGTGTGTGTGTGTGTGTGTGTGTGTGTGTGTGTGTGTGTGTGTGTGTGTGTGTGTGTGTGTGTGTGTGTGTGTGTGTGTGTGTGTGTGTGTGTGTGTGTGTGTGTGTGTGTGTGTGTGTGTGTGTGTGTGTGTGTGTGTGTGTGTGTGTGTGTGTGTGTGTGTGTGTGTGTGTGTGTGTGTGTGTGTGTGTGTGTGTGTGTGTGTGTGTGTGTGTGTGTGTGTGTGTGTGTGTGTGTGTGTGTGTGTGTGTGTGTGTGTGTGTGTGTGTGTGTGTGTGTGTGTGTGTGTGTGTGTGTGTGTGTGTGTGTGTGTGTGTGTGTGTGTGTGTGTGTGTGTGTGTGTGTGTGTGTGTGTGTGTGTGTGTGTGTGTGTGTGTGTGTGTGTGTGTGTGTGTGTGTGTGTGTGTGTGTGTGTGTGTGTGTGTGTGTGTGTGTGTGTGTGTGTGTGTGTGTGTGTGTGTGTGTGTGTGTGTGTGTGTGTGTGTGTGTGTGTGTGTGTGTGTGTGTGTGTGTGTGTGTGTGTGTGTGTGTGTGTGTGTGTGTGTGTGTGTGTGTGTGTGTGTGTGTGTGTGTGTGTGTGTGTGCGTATGTGTGTGTGTGTGTGTGTGTGTGTGTGTGTGTGTGTGTGTGTGTGTGTGTGTGTGTGTGTGTGTGTGTGTGTGTGTGTTTGTGTGTGTGTCTGTATAACGCATAACTCATGAACCGATACACGGAAAAACACCAAATTTCAAACTTAAGCTTTATTCCAGCGTCTAATGAGCTGATTAGATTTTGGGCAGAGTCAAAACATCTGGGGGGGTACTTTATAGGTAGTCATTTTTATATTTTATGGAATATATCTGTTATTTACGTTTGGGGAAGAAAATTTTTTAAATAAAAGTTACTTCTTATTTTATTATCTATAATTTTTGTTATTTACAAAATTTTCCTAAAATGGTCCGTAGTCGAGAAATTTGACAAAATGTAAAAAAATATTTTTTTTTTATAAAAATTGTTCAAACAAAAGTTGTTTGTAATATAATTCTCTATAATTTTTGTCCCATAGATAATTTCTCTAAAATGGACAGTATTCGAGATATTTGAGAAAATGTGTAAATTTCGAAATTTGAAGAAAACTCAAAAACGGGTAAAGAAAAAATCAATAAATTTTAAACTTAAGTTTTATTTCGGCCTGACGTGAAATGATTAGATTTTGGACAAAGTCGGAACATCTGGGTGGGTACTTTATGGGAGGCCGTTTTTATATTTTATTGAATATATCTGTTATTTATGTTTGGAGAAGAAAATTGTTCAAATAAAAGTTACTTCTAATATTATTATCTATAATTTTTGCCTTATTTAAAAATTTCCTGAAATGGTCCGTATTCGAGAAATTTGACAAAATGTGCAAAATTCTGATTTTTATGAAAATTGTTAAAATAAAAGTTGTTTGCGATATGGATCTCTATAATATTTGTTGATACATGATTTTTTTTAAATGGACCGTAATGGAAAAATTGTAGGAAAAGTGCTAAATTTAAATTTTTCAGTATTTTCATTTTCAATGAATATCTATAGAAAAATGTTTCGCGGTAGATGTATGTGGACAATGTATATATTTAGTTTATCCTCTAAACATTTATAGAGATGCTGCAATAGGTTGTACACAATAAACGGAAAAAGCCTGTAATAACTAGATAGGAAAGTCATGTGTTGGACACATCAGATTTTTATTTCAAACGTTCTTACCGATGGTCCCGTGCCCCAAGCAGTCCTGTAACATGATGAGCTTCGGTGTGCAGTGTGTAGCCTAACAGAGGGCTCTTTCTAGTGCCGCTGTCAGGCCTAGGATTATATTTTGGTATTTATTATTTTTTCTTTAATTTTAACAATATATTCGCAATGTCTATTTGGACACTTTACTTATATTTTGAAAAGGGTGTTTCTTTATTTTCTGTATGATTTAGTTTTAAGAATACTTTTTGTTTCTTTTATTTACAACCAGTTTGTAAATATTATTTTAAGTACTCAAAACAATATACCTTAATTTTAACAAGACGTATCGGATAGGTATAAATAAACCTTCTTATTTTATTATTCATATATTTCTCCAACTATTGGCGAATGAATTGAGAGGATATTCTCAATTACACCATTTCTACTGAATATAAATTTAACAGTTTAAAAATGAATTGAGTATTTTCAATTATATTGTTTCTACCGTTTATAAATTTAAATGTTGATAAGTGGATTGAGAAAATACTTCCAATTTTATTACTTTTAGAATTTGATTCATAAAATGAATTGAGAATATATTGTTAATATATCACTTTTATTTATTTTTTTATTAAATTCAATTTAAATTTATTCATGTATTTATGGTTTAATTATTTAAATTTTATTTACTATGGTTTCTGAATTTACTTTTAGATTTTAGAAACTTCTTTATCAAATAATACCAAATTTTTTAATCTATAAAAAATTCAGTGGAGTCCATCAATGGTTTAAATACTCTTTTTTGTATTTTATTTAAGTGTATCTAAAGTCAATTTAAAATAATTAAATTTCAAGACAACAAATCCTTACTCACACCTTTATGCCACCGAGTCGGTAGAGCTGCTGTGCTGTATATAACCTAAACTCTTTGTCAAAAGAAAAAATTAGGTTACAAAGTTGAATATTATTGTTGAACTTTTTAAATTGTTTATTTAACCTCATACATTTTTTTTTTCTACTCTTCATACAGTATTATGTGAAGTGTATTATAGGTTTACTTTGTCTGTCTGTCCGATGTCACGTTTTTTGTCTGCACGATAAGTCAAAAACGAGAAATAATATGAACTTTTAAGTAAAAATCAAGCTCTATAAGGGGAAGAAGCCTATTAATTTTTAACAAATCTAATTAAAAATAGGGTGTTAAGATGGGTTAAAATTAAAAAAAAAAATCCCAAATTAAAAACGAAAAGC